GACCCCCCAGCCCCCCCCCCTTCCCCCCCCCCCAGGTCCTGCACAACAACAGCCTCCTGCAGCCGGCCCGTGGTGAGGAGCTCTCGGCCGCTCTCCTCTCCGTCTTCGTGGACCGAGCCGCCGACCTCCCGGTGAGTCACTGCCCCCCGCCCGGGGGCCCCATCGCCCCCATCCATCACCCCCATCTTCCCCCTCCATCCTCATCATCCCCATGGACTCCATGATCCCCATCCATCCCCATCGTTCCTGTCCATCCCCATCATCCCCATGGACCCCATGGTTCCCATCTTCCCCATCCATCTCCATCGTCCCCATCACCCTCATCTTCCCCGTCCATCTCCATCGTCCCCATCACCCTCATCTTCCTCTTCCATCCCCATTGTCCCCATCCATCCTCATCATCCCCATGGACTCCATGGTCCCCATCCATCCCCATCATCCCCATGGACCCCATGGTTCTCATCTTCCCTGTCCATCTCCATCATCCCCATCACACTCATCTTCCCCTTCCATCCCCATCGTTCCCATCCATCTTCATCACCCTCATCGTCCCCATCCATCACCCCCATCTTCCCCCTCCATCCTCATCATCCCCATGGACTCCATGATCCCCATCCATCCCCATCGTTCCTGTCCATCCCCATCATCCCCATGGACCCCATGGTTCCCATCTTCCCCATCCATCTCCATCGTCCCCATCACCCTCATCTTCCCCGTCCATCTCCATCGTCCCCATCACCCTCATCTTCCTCTTCCATCCCCATTGTCCCCATCCATCCTCATCATCCCCATGGACTCCATGGTCCCCATCCATCCCCATCATCCCCATGGACCCCATGGTTCTCATCTTCCCTGTCCATCTCCATCATCCCCATCACACTCATCTTCCCCTTCCATCCCCATCGTTCCCATCCATCTTCATCACCCTCATCGTCCCCATCCATCACCCCCATCTTCCCCCTCCATCCTCATTGCCCCCATCATCCCCATGGACCCCATGGTTCCCATCTTCCCCGTCCATCTCCATTGTCCCCATCACCCTCATCTTCCTCTTCCATCCCCATTGTCCCCATCCATCCTCATCATCCCCATGGACCCCATGGTCCCCATCATCCCCATCCATCCCCATGGCCTCCATCATCCTCATCATCCCCATGGACTCCATGGTCCCCATCCATCTCCATCATCCTCATCGTCCCCATCATCCCCATGGACCCCATGGTTCCCATCTTCCCTGTCCATCTCCATCGTCCCCATCACCCTCATCTTCCCCTTCCATCCCCATCGTCCCCATCATCCCCATGGCCTCCATCATCCTCATAATCCCCACGGACCCCATGGTCCCCATCATCCCCATCCATCCCCATCATCCCCATCATCCCTATGGTCTCCATCATCCTCATCATCACCATGGACTCCATGGTCCCCATCCATCCCCATCATCCTCATCGTCCCCATCATCCCCATGGACCCCATGGTTCCCATCTTCCCCGTCCATCCCCATCATCCCCGTTATCCTCATCATCCCCATGGCCTCCATCATCCTCATCATCCCCATGGACCCCATGGTCCCCATCATCCTCGTCCACCCCCATTGTCCCCATCCTGCTGTCCCCCAGCTCCGGAAGGGCTCCAAGCCTCCTGCTGCCTTCGTCACCCTGGTCGTACATGACAACTCCGTCAAGACCAAGGTAAGACACGATGGGGGGGCTTGGGGGGGGGGGTGCAGGAGGCCAAGAGGGGGTGTCCCTCACCCACTCTCCCACCCCCAGACCTGCGCCCCGACCACAGAGCCCGTGTGGGACGAAGGCTTCTCCTTCCTCATCAAGCGGCCGCACGTGGAGTCGCTGGAGCTGCAGGTCCCTGCCGTGGGTGGGTGGGGGGTCCCATCCTCACACCGGGGGGGTCCCACTGCAGGGTGCTGACCCCCCCTTGTACCCACAGGTGAAGGAGGAGGGGGGACAGTCCCTGGGGGGGCTCAGCCTCCCCCTGCCCCAGCTCCTGGCCTCCGAGGGGCTGGCTCTGGACGGATGGTTCCCCTTGGCCGGGGGGGGGCCCAACAGCCAGGTCCTTCTACGGG